CCTTAGGAATGAAATAACAGTCCAAGAAAGTCATCAGACTTTTCTTTCTAAGTTGTTTTGAAAGATTATCTTCAAAGCGATGCAATTAGGAAATAATTTTTGTTAATTCCTTCTCTCAAAAACACCTGGCAAGTTTATATTAATGATAAGTTTCTTGTCTGAAATCTAATTCTTTGTCTTTCATAACCTGTATACATTCTGTTGGGTCCTTGATTGTGAACTGGTAGAAAGAGTAAAAAGTAGCCAACAGTCCCAGGTCACATTGTCCAGAGGGGATAAGTTTCTCAGACCAAATCCATGCTTTAGTCATTGTTCTAGGGATCTAAATGGATGGGCAAAGGTAAGACAGTGGGAACCTTTGGGCAGAATTTAACTGTGGCAATTAAAGGAAATTTTGTTCCTAAGTGCTAAAAGAGTGTGTCCATACCGGAGCTGCCAGTCACAGAGATGCAGAGTTATTTTCTAGTAACCCTGAGAGAGTAGACTTACGTGGATGTATTTGCCAGGTTTAGAGCAGCAGGAACAACCTCAGATCTCATTTACTGACATGGAAGAAGGCTCTAAGAGTCTGCCATCTTGTTAAGGATTGGCTTAAAAACTAGTCTGGTGTATTAGTTCTATTGATTTAAGAATTTGTCTGGCATTTTTACCTGGTTCCTGAGAGGTAGCTTATAAATCTCTGGAATTCCCAGAGTGATAAGAGTGTGTTTGTTATTTATGGCAGGCCCCTAAATAGTTTGTGGTAATGAGATAGACTCAAGATGGAGGCTGGCCACAACCAGAAAGACTGAACATGTAATTAGAGGGCTATAGCTTTGAGTCACAGGATATCAACCAGACCTCCAGGGAGAGGAGAGAGGCTGAAGACTGAGTTCAATCACATAGCCAATGATTCAATCAATCATGTTCATTTAGTGGAATCCCAATAAAACTCTGGACAGCAACACTTGAAGGCACTTCCCTGTTAGCAATATTCTGTGCATGTTGTTATACAATGATGTGCTGGGAGAGTGTTACATCCTGGTTTCTCAAGGAGATGACACTGGAAGCTTTATGTTGGAACCCTCTCAGGTCTCACACTATATACCTCTTCTTTTGTCTGGTTATGATTTGTATCTTTTTTTTTTTTACTATAATAAAACTGTTACCATAAGTATAGTGCCTTCCTGAGTTCTGTGAGTTCCTAGAGAGAATTACCAAAAATAAAGGGATAGTGGAAACTTCAGATTTGTCAATTGTTCAGGAGTCAGGTACCCAGGGCTGATAGTCTAACTTCAGGTAGTCACCATAAGGATTACTGCAAGTAGTCAGAACGGAGCCTATAATTGCAGTAGTTGCCTCTGGAGTGAGAATGGGCTAAGATGGCCAAAGAAGATTGGGATTTGTGTATCCAGATGACTGAGAAGTTATCTTGTCTCTCTGAGGTAACAAGAATTTTATTCAACTTTCTAATCATATGTAATTTGTATGTATATAGTCAATATTTCTTATTAAATCATGTTCAAAGCAAATGTTCAACGTATCAAATAATTATTTGTTAATAACTACTATACATATAATAATTATTTTAATTTTTATCTTTCAAATGTTTGAAAAAGAAAAAAATATTTACCAGTTGTATACTATATATACATTATTTACCTGGTCTTCTTTTTTTTGTTTGTTTTTTTTGTCCATATCCAACATTCTGTGCTCTGTTCTGTGCAATAGCGACTAGATGTCTGGAAACTACAATTACCAGCCACCCTTCCCAGCTCGCTTTCTTTTACATTCTGGCAATGAGAGGTAGTGGAAAGTGATAAAGTGAAAGGAAAAAATATATTTTCCTTTTTTTCTTTCTTTTTTTTAGGCATTAACTCTGACAGTGGCAGAAATAACAGCAAAGATACAGGCTCCTCTACGGCAGGACGGACTCAATTTCCACTCGGGTTCTTGTTGTAGAGTTGGTGGGGGCAAGGGGTGCTTCAGATTACAGAACAGTGTCCTTGGACTCTGAATCCATTGCTAGAGCTACACACTTGGGGATTTTGCAGTGTTAGCTGTGGTATAAGCTCCTGGTTTTGGGCTACCTGGGTAGCTCAGTGGTTGAGCGTCTGCCTTTGGCTCAGGTCATGATCCCCGGGTCCTGGGATAGAGTCTTACATGGGGCTCCCTGTGCTTCTTCCTCTGCCTATGTCTCTGCCTCTCTCTCTGTGTCTCTCATGAATAAATAAATAAAATCTTAAAAAAAAAAAGAACTTCAATATATGGATGGGGATGGGGACAGGGACACAAACATTCAATCCATAAAATAATGAAACTCAATTCATAGACTTTAAACCAGGGAATCATGGCTAGCTTAGTTAAATACAATAAATAAGAAAAAAATCAAGAATGATTTTAGTAGTTGTTAGAAAATAGTATTCCATACTTTTTATGATCTACTTTACAGCTTTAGCCCTCTTAAAATAATAAAATAGGAATTGTCACTTTTATGCTGATTTCAGTGTTAGTAAGTTCTGTTCCAAATTTAAGTTGTTTTAAATTATGGGAGCATCTCTTACTTCTTGCCTCTATTTTGTAGTTGATATTCAAATTGGGAACAAGGTATGTTTACATAGCATCCAGATTAAAGTATTAAAAATCTTTTCTCAAAAGAAAAGTTGTCTACTTCTATATATCCAGATGTTTGTATTATATAAATAACACAACTATTGATTATTTTTTAATCCAGCTATTTGGTAACACATGAACACAATCCTATTCCTTGCATTGCTTTACACCTCAGTTTTCTTGTTTATAATATTTGAGTCTGTTCAGTGTTTATCAGTAAAATAAGGCCAAAATATACAAATTATTTTAGAAATTTTTTGGAAAAGCTCAAATGCAAGTTGTCACTAAAATATCATCGTTAGAGGTGTAATTTTTATTTTTAATATTTTAAAAAAACTTGAACAATTAACTACAATCATATATCATATATTCATTCCTTTAATCTGGTAACCTTATTCCTGGTAACTTATATGAAGAAAAAAAAGTAAATTGAAAGATATTCTATACTTATGAAGAACTTTGTCTTCTACTTGAACAAGGAATCTAAATGTTTAAAGTAGAATGTGATCTGATAAGTTAAGCACATAACAGAATGATTACTGTATAATTATGACCATATAAAAGCACAGAAAAATAGATTTGACGTAATGTGAAATGCAAAAGCAGAACATATGTTATGCACAATCAGAAGGAACTTCAAAACAGACATATACATTTTGACAGGTTAGCATGCAAAATGAAAATAAGATTTTAGATGGCTGAATTATGTTTTTGTTTTTAAAATAATCAATTTTGTTCATACTTCACTTTAATTTAAATAAAATGCTTCCTTCAAGTTAAAATGCTTCATTTGGAAAGGCACTGAAATGATGGGTAAGGCTGTAAACCAGAGAGGACTTTAAAGTTTGTTGCTGGAGGTAGAATAAGTCTAAAAACCAAAAAATCTTTTTGACTACACTTAAATAACAAAATCTGGGGGTGGGGGGGGGGAGAATGTTGGGACTAAGGTCAAAAAGGAGCATTTTTTTCTCATTTCATGTTTATTCTAGTTAAGAATAAAGGCTGAGGAGATAGATAAATGGAGATAAAATCATCAGCTTAATTACTAAAAAATTGACTGGACAGCGTGGCTTTAGATTTGGTCCAAGAAGGCTTGCTTCTTCCTACTAGTCCAATTCCTTAGTGTAGAAACTTGAGATACAGCACTGAATGGCCAAGTTAGGAGAGATACACTTAATAGGGTGCCTGGATAGCTAAGTGGGTTAAGCATCTGCCTTTGGCTCAGGTCATGATCCCAGGGTCCTGAGACTGAGACCCGCATTGTGCTCCCTGCTCAGCAGGGAGTTTTCTTCTCCCCTTCCCTATGCTCATGCTCTTTCTCTGGCTCTGTCTCAAATAAATACACAAAAAAAAATTTTTTTAAAGGACAGATGCACTTACCAGGACTGTATACTGTCTAAAAATGGAAAAGGATGGATGAAGAGAAGAAATTCCCCAGAGAAGAGCTTGAACTTTTTTCCCAGATCTTGTCCACGCATCTCAAACACTGACTAGGGTTCATCACCCTAGTGCAGATTTCTCTTTCCTCCTGTGACACTTTCATCGGGCACAATCAGATGCAAAACAAGTACTGTACACATTTTTACTTTATTGTAAAGCTAGGAATGAAGTTGTGAAAGGAAAAAAAATGCCAGGATGAATTTTTTCTCTGGAAGCTTAATTTTACAAAATTTTTCCAGTGAGACAAAAATATCTTTAAATATGAGTGTTTGTGCAGGGTTGAATCTAGAGTGAGGTGAGTAAGCCACTTGCCTTTTGAGCTATAAATGTAAAGGGCTGCCCCCCAAAATCAATAATCAATACAAATAACATTTTTTGCAATATTCAAATCATGATGAATAATATATTAAAATGTTAAAGAAGGCAAGATCTGATTTTTCCTCTTGCCTCAGGCTCCATTATGGTTTGGCATGTCACTGACTTGTTGATTATAATTAACATATTTTAAAAGAATATTTTTCAATTTTTTTTAAATGTAAGGAACTTAAATTCTAGAGTTAAGTCTGAAAAGCCTAAAAAATGTTTTAAAAACTCTGAAAGTCTGAAGTTTTAAAAATTTGGTTGGTCATTCTTGTTAGCAAGAATTGAAAGCCAAAGGTAATACTCTTATGACTCTATAGCAAGAAATAATTTCAGGCCCAGAAATTTAGAGCACACAGTATTTTTACAAGGTCAAATCCTTCTCGAAGTTCTATAAAGCATCTTTGTTATTCACCAAAAACCCATACTGAACACCATGTGCTGCTGGTGCTGAGGGTACATTTCAATTTTTCTTAGACTTCAAAAATGCACTTTCAGTCCAGTGCTATTGCATCACAAAGAGAAACCTGGAGGATTCAGCTCCTCTAACAATGTATTTAGAAACAACCTTTTTTTTTTTTCCTACTTTATAAGATGAAAAAACTTACCAATTCTTTTCTATATGCCAAAGAAGCTCCTGGGGTCTTAAAGGCGAAGTGCTTTGAGCTCCTGAACTCTTTTGACTGTAAACCAAAGGATAAAGAGTTAATGCTGTCTTCCTCTCTGCTGTATTCCAAAACAGGTTTAGCACAGTCTGTTGTGAAGTGACCCTTGGTCAGAAGACCAGCATTTAATACCAACTCTGTTTCTTGGTGATTCTGGTGATTCTGTGACTTTGATCAGGATAATTAATCTCTTCGGGCCTCAGTTTCCTTACTGATAAAGCACAGTAAGGTGTTAGAAGAATTTGTTGAGTAAATTCAGGTTTAAACAAATAAAGTCATTGTTATAAACTGTCATTTCACATAGTACAGGAACTGGCAATTTTTTTCTGTAAAGGACAAGATAGTAAATATTTTAGGCTTTGCAAGCCATATGGCCTCTATCACAACTACTCAGCTGCAGTGCAAAATCACCACAGAGAATATGTGAATGAATAGGCATGGCTTTGTTCCAATAAAACTTTACAGAAACAGGCGGTGGTCCAGATTTGGCCCGTAGGCCATAGTTATGCCAATTCCTGACCTGGGACAATGTAGTATGGATTTAGGCACTTAGAATCTTTTCATGTTAAAGATCACTAGACTCTAAACTCTATGAGAACAAGAACTCCTCTTTATGTTCATCATTGGCTCCCTAAGAGCTTAGTTAGAGTTTTGAACTTTTTCAGGAAATGTTGGCTTCTCAGCTCAGAGCAGTGCCTGGCATTTAACAACTGATTAAAAAATAAGATAGATATCTTTTTTATCTAAAAATCTGTGATAAGCCTTTTTACCATATACCCATTCTTTCCACACCTGTTTTCACACAATAGACAACTCTTCTGGAGTGTCAACTTTTTCCTCTCAGCATAAGATCAGTGATAGAGATAGTGCTACAACTATTAAAAAAGAAAAGGTACATGATCTGGATTTCATGTTATTTATGCCCAAGACCATAAAAAATGTTAAGGCCCATGGGAATAAACATCATATATCACTGTGGTTTATTAGAAGCAAAGGGATTATGAATGACTTCTGTGATAGCTCCCTAACAAAACCATATTATAGGCATGATACTATTTGGACCTTGTGAAACATATGCTTAATATATAATTTTAATGGAAACATGCCATATGTCATCAGGCATTTCTTCTTTTCCTCGACATCCTCTGCCTTTTTATTCTTTGCATTCTTTCTTATGAATACTTTTTCTCTGGGTATGGTGTTTCTGACGTTATTAAACATATTCAGGAGAGACTGCATCTAAAACCTGGATTGAACCCAAAGGCTAGTCTTGTCACCAAGTAGAGATACCATTCACTGACAATTCTGCTTTTGGTGGATCTGTTAATCTGTAGGGAAAGATGTGAGGCTTTCTACACTATTATGTATAGAAAGCTTTTAAAAGAATAAAAATGTGTAGAAAACAATGAAAAAGTAGAGCTTAATGTAGAGTTTTTTACTTTTTCAAGAATTTTTTAAAAATACATGTAACCCTACACAAATGTATTTTAATTTCAGATTATAGAAAAATATATACTTAGGAGGTTGTGATTCTAAGAAAATGATGCAATTTTAATTTGAAAAATAAGGTAAATGTTAATCAAGCAAAATATGACATAGGTTCTATAAACCTAGCCCAAGAATCTTATAAAAATAGATGATTTTTCAGTTTTATTTATTTACATATCAAAAAATTAAAGCATGTTTATTATATCAAAGCTCTGTGCTTGGACCTGGGAAGACCACAGGTAGGTGGTCTTTACCTACAAAGATTCATTTGAAAGTATCCCAACATTGAAAGAACTTGCCATGTAGTCTAGGAAGCAGACTACATACAGATTACCCAGGGAAGTAAGTAAGGAAGCAAGGGTGAGGCAAGAAAGAAGCAGTTTTATTAAGGTGACTGGATATGGGCCAAGTGTAAAGAGGCCAAGCTTTGAGGTTTCAGTTTGGAGTGTTGTGATTACAGAGAGGAAGATAAAACTTCAAATTTCATCCTAACACATGGTTTACTGGTAAAGAGCTCCAGTAGGCCTTTGGCCAAAAGAGCAGGGTATTTAGAGACACTACTGTTAGGTATTACTGCTAAAGGAGAATATCAACAAAAATACTAATATCCAGATTGGAAATAGAATTCAAGAGGGATCACCTTTTCTTTTTCTGGTGTATTTTTATCTGCGTTGTGATAAAATCAAATGCAATATACTATTTTCTACAGGGGGCAGTGTTTAGACTGTTCATTTCTGACATACATTAACCTGTATCTTAAAATTGTATTTAGTGGCCAGACTTAGAAAGTTCTATTCAAATCTGTAAAAGGCTTAGGTATTGCCTAAGCTGCTAGTTCAAAACTTGGAAGTCCTCAATCTTAGAGATGCTCTGGAAAATTGTCCATATATCCTAATATTTACTACCAGAGGGAAAGGATGTATTTGTTATTTTTGCTCTGAGTTCAAATGGTGCATAATTAATTAAACTAGCCCGTGCTTCGAAACGCTTCAAAATTGTTGTAGTCATAAGGTTTGGTATTGCACCTTTAGCTCAAGGTCATTCCAAAACCATATTGTGTGTGAATTAGTGACCAGGTAGATGCAGAGCAAAAGTGTGCAAAGAGATTGGAAAATGGTTCTCTTCACGTGAGATTAGAATGGGGATTTTATTAGCAGAATAAAAGAAAATCCAAATATACATAGAATCTTCACATTAAGAGGACTTAGAACAGGCTGTGTGATGGTTTGCAGGGCCCTAAATGATAATGGTGCATTTTTATACAGTTTTCCATGACAATGCAAGATGATACTGATTGTAAGTTACCAGTGAAGAAACATATATATTTCTTTCTTTGGGCTATTTGCCTATCCTTTTCCTGAAATGCCAGTTTGGGGCATTTCACGCAAGTACAAGGCTAGAAAGATAATAAAAACCAAATGAGAGCTTGGCACATTTCTCAACTGTAATGAAACCAGAGTAATTGAGAGAGTCAGCAAATCACAGTTATCAATCAAATTGTGAAGGTGGTGGGTACAGATGCCAGACCTGATTCGCTGTTGTGGTCCAGAGAACCTGTTTTGTTTTGTTATTGATTATTTTTGTTTAATGTTGCATTATTCCTGAAAACAGGACAACACACATTGTCCCAACCAGGACATACTTATATTTCAACTTGAGAGGTGGGTCAAAGGTCACAGGACAGGGTCAATTTTTAAAAGGAATCTGCATAGCAAATATCTGATCCTAAAAGTGTTAAAAAAGCAGATGAGCTAATTGCAAATATAAGTAAAAAGAAAACAGGCACTTCAATTAGTGCATCAGTTAATCTGGATAGATTGAAAACTCACATCCCACTCAACTCTAAAATTAATCTTCTCTGATAATGGAAGAGATGTCATTGCAGTGATTTCAGAAATAATGAATTTACCAAGAAATTTAATAAAAGGATAAATCCCAGAACTTGGCATTTAAAAAGAAAATACTGTTGCTCTTGAATTTTCATTTACCTTCTTTTCCCCTCCTTCACTTGATCTTGCTTTTATCTAGAAAACACAATTATCTTTTCTCTTTTCTTCCTTTTTTTATCTAGATAAAAGACCGTTTCTGGTATTCAGACTGGATTCTTAACAAAAGCAGTTTTTCTCTAATTCTGAATTTTAAAAATGTAAGATTTTTTTTTTTTTGCTCCAAACATTTTACTAAATATAAATGTTGACAGCCGAGTCACCCAAGTCTTGATTCTTATCATTTAATTTCCAATGAGAAAAGGAACTGGCTTTAAAGAACGTTTAAGGGAAAGAACAGTTGCTTCTCTCCTACTGATAAAAATTTCAGCACTATAGGCAAGTTCCCTTGATGCTAATATAGATATGGTGGGCCCAACAGACAGGTGGAGTTGGCAAATAAATGTTCATTTCTTCTTTTTATGACTCAATGTTATCATGAGGGAAATCGAGAACATTTCCACAACACAGCTGTGTGGGATTCTCCGGCTCGTCTATCAAGATCACGCAAAGTCTTTTACTCCCCTGCAGTTTGGCAACCAGTGCAGATCTGAGTAGGAGATAGAAGATTACTCTCAAGTTCTGGGCTCCGCAGGAAATGCAAGTTGTGTTTTCAGAATCACCGCCTCCATATCAATTCAAGAGTCTCTGGCGCTGCTTGTAGGCTGCTCTGGCTTATAGAGGCTTACAGTGGTAAGACTGGCTAAGATAAAAGAGTCGGTGTTTGCATCCCCACTCCAGCTCCTGGACAAGTCATTTTCCAGCATGTACTCCTGTACCTCTGGTGAAAGGAAACTCACCCTTTTCCAGAGAGATTTTTCTGTTTTTAATGACCTCTAATTTTTAGATGTGCTTTCATTGCATTTATTCTTAAACCTAGCCAAAATACAATTTTTACTTACTATTCCTAAGTTTATACTTCAAGGGCATCCATAAGAAATGGGTTATTTTTTTTAATACAAAAACAGTTTTACATTTTTGAAAGTAGCCATCATGTTCTTCAGGATGGTGTTCTGATTATTCTAAGAACTTTTGAAACAGGGTCATGAGTCTTTTCTGCTTTGGACAGAGTGATTTGTCCCAACACGCAAAGTGTGATCATACCATCAAGGGGTAAAAGGGCTTATTAGCTTGGCCAACCCAATGACCAGAGTTTGTCCTCGTTGGTTCAATTCTTCCTCGGATCCCAGCGAATATCAGCAAGAGAAATCAAAGATGCTGCAGGCCATTCTTAGGAATCATACTTGCCTCTGGAAGCATCACAGTACAGACAAAGAGTAATAATTCATACTTCTAAATTCCTCCAGAAAGAAGGACTTCAGAGAGAGAGAAAAAAAAATACCCTAAATAAAAAGCCAAACGTGTCATCTTCTCTTACCAGGCAATGACCAGACTCAGATATTGTGAGCATCCTTTTACCGCCTTCACCTTGCTGTATCCAGTGAGTTGTAGTTTCTCTGCTCCCTCCATTCTTGTCCCTCAGGCCCCATGGCTAAGTTAAAGCCTTAGACTTACAATTTGGTGAGGCCTTCCTGGCATCTAGCTCAACCCCACACTGAGCTTGAATTTCCTCTAAGTTTCCTTAGCCTCCAATGCAGCCAAATCAAGAGAGCAGGAGCAACAGAGGATGGGACATTCAACGCACTGAAAATCTTATACTAAGTCCAGAGTGGACCCTACTCTGTTTCCAAATATTCTTGCACAAGGAAACAAAGACGCAATTATTGCCAGGTCCAAGTTTTCAAGAGAAGCAGAAAACCATTTTTTTTAAAGATTTTATTTATTTATTCATGAGAGGCACAGAGAGAGAGGCAGAGACACAGGCAGAGGGAGAAGCAGGCTCCATGCAGGGTGCCCAACATGGGACTCGATCCCGGGACTCCAGGATCACGCCCTGGGCCGAAGGCAGTGTTAAACTGCTAAGCCACAGGGGCTGCCCAAAACCGTATTTTTAAATAAACTTCTTTAATTTTTTAAAAGGTTTTCTTTGTGTGTTTGTTTTTTGAAGTTAGTTCGCCCTCCTAAATATGTCTTCTGGGTGGCTCTAGCCCGTGGGACCTTTGCTCCATAGCTAGATTTTCTCAATTATCTCAATAATTCTTATAATAACCATAAGAGTATTCAAGAGAATATTCTTATATACTAAAAATGGTATAATGAAATATGCAACAACCAGGATACGATGTCAAATAAAACAGTGAAATGTACGCATATCATGAGCAACAATTATAGTTTTAAAACACTGATTTGGAAAAAGAAGACAATTAGAAAACATGAAAATGATGAATTTGCATGGAAAGATGATAGTGATTTAAATCTTTCCTTCTTTTGCCTATAAAACATTTTTCTAAATCTCTCCTAGGAGCCTACATAGCTTCTAGAAAGAAAAAGAAAAATAATATGTCTCAACTATTATATTTTAGTAAGAGGGAAATCAGAACACAAGATTTTATTGAAATTAGAGGAATTTCTTGATATGTTAACTGTCCCTTGTAGCATGTCTGTACTTTTTAGTCATCTTCTTAATGCTAACACATGCTCAAATTACCCTTTCTTCATAATCAATTTTGTTAGAAAAACTAGAAATCTTGTAACATCAAAATGAAGGGAACAGAAGTGGAAAATAAAAATACAGTATTTGTTAATAAAGGTATGAAATAAGGGCAAATCATACACTAGACACAAAATTGATTGGATTCTCTTTCTGTTGGAAGCTGACCTACTCAAAGCTCACTCAAGATACTATTATTATCTCCACATTAGATGAAGAAACTAAGACCTGGCAAGATCAGCCCAATGTCACAAAGCTCTAAGTACCAGGGCCAGGGTCTGCATCCAGGCCATCATCCCTCTAAAGTTGTCATGACTACCTACTGAGTACAAGCCAAACAATTTCAAGTCAAGAATAAAAAAAGCTCTCTGCCAGCCAATAATGCAAAACAAAACAAAATTAGGATTTAGAGCTTTCCTTTTTTTCTTTTTTTTTCCAAAAGTTTGTTTATTTATTCATGAGAGACAAAGAGAGAGAGGCAGAGAAATAGGCAGAGGGAGAAGCAGGCTCCCTGAAGGGGGCCTGATGCAGGACTTGATCCCAGGATCCTGGAGATCAAAGGCAGATGCCCAACCACTGAGCCACCCAGGTGTCCCAGGATTTGGAGCTTTTCTAATATGTCCCTTCTCTCATCAGATTTGTGACATATCATATGGCCAAGCCACCATGAAGTATGGTGTTCCACTCAACACAGTTATGTTTCTGATGAAATTTCTATGCTTTCTTCTATCTCTTCTTTTCCCCCCTCTCTGCACACACTATGTGACAATAACAGTGGCAGATTGTTTTTGAATGTCACAGGTCACTGTACCCTTCCCTGCTGTACCAGAAGCAGTTGGTAAATTCGAAGGACTGTTTTATTTGAGATTTATGAAGACAATATAAAGAACAAATAAGCTACAATCCCATTGTAGTAAATTCGCTGTCACCTGATACAGTGTATGCTGGTTAACTGCATACATGAGGCATGTGTTTTTATTCCACTCTCTTGATATTTTCACATCTGGGGCCTTGCTGCCCTACTGAGGGCTGGCTAATTCCTAGAGATGACAAACAACATACCTGGGAGCAAGTCTTGCATATCAGACTAACCCATCCACAGCCTCCCAAGCCATCCAAGCCTATACATACCTCAACCCTTCTCTCCAATGGGCTCTTTCACTTGGGGTCATTGTTCCTCTGCCTAATCACCTCAGAGCCAGGTACCCTACAACCAGGAACAGTGCTTATGCCCCAGAGCCGGCAGCAATTATTTAAATTAGCCAATCCTAAACCTGCTCACCCTGTTTTGCCTGTCCCTTCTTATGGAAGACACAATAAAGACTCTTGTCCACATTTTCCCCTGATTCCCTCTGCTTCCTGACTGATCCTGGTGCTTCCCTTCATGGTGCTCTTGGCATAGAGTGCCCCCTCCTCTTGGTATCTGTGGATATATCAAGCTTTCTTTTCAATGGCAGTAGTCCCCTAAGCTATTAGCCTACCTATATCTGAATAAAAATAAAATTTACATTTTAAATCACTCCAGAAAGCTTGAGTCTCATGGCAAGGTTCACACACCCTAGAACACTAGGCTTGTTATTATGAGTCTGTTTGTGTTGGGCATTAACAGTGCAGAGTCAGCTATGACTTCAACTGGGGCTTTTACAGCCTGGTTTGGACAATAGCTCATAAATGACTCCACCCATGTTATGGGAGGACGGTTCAGTGCATTTACAATGCATGGAACCCTTTTGTTTGTCATGCAAACGATTAAATACATAAATAAGTTGTGTCAGTGCTTAAAGCACAAGGCAAGGTGAGCACCCTGATATTTCATTAGAGTCTGCCACCTGAATCCGTTGTGCCCTCAGCCAAGCTTTGACTGTTCACCTGCTAAATGGAAATATCTAAGTTCTAGGTCAGAACTTAAAAGTAACACCAATGGCATGAAGAGTTGCAAGACTAAAATATAAATGTTTAAATGCATCCCTGAGAAAAGTTTTAAGTGCCTGAAATGAATTCAGGCTGGATAGAAAATGCTCGCAGCTATCTCATAAAGCATTGTTTATTTTCTCTTATGAAGGCTCACTCCCTCGGTATCCTTTCCTTGCCAATATGTGACGTTCCTGGGGCAATTTCCAGTCACCACTGCTGCTAGCCAGCTGATCACCATAGTAGTCAACATGCTGACCCTGGAGAGCGACAAGATGCCCCACTGCCAGCCAGTTTGCGGGATGCAGCCTCAGCAATGTGAAAGCTCCAAATACCCCTGTGCTCTCTGGCTCAAACTTGGCAGTTTGGGGAGGCTGCCAGGACAACACCAGGAGGGGAGCCAGGGGAATGGTGTGCCAGAGCCAGCAGGTGGCAATGGCCAACAGCAGCTCAGAAAGTAGATCCGTACTTCCAGCAGTTAAGACAGCCAGCAGAGGTGGGAGCCAACGTTGTCCTTGTTATCCAACGTATAGGCATTGTTATAAATGACATGGGAGCCCCCGTACATTTCTCATTGGGCTTGTTAGTCAGGTGGCAGTTTTACCAGGGTCGCTAATGCTCCAAGCAAAGCATATGCTATATCATTTAACTTACATTTGAAGCCAGGGAATTAGGTTTCTTAAAATAATGTCTTGGGGACACAATAACAATGGTCTCTGGTATCCATACAGCACTATCCGCTAAGGCGGTCGATGCACCGACAGGCTTACAGCGCTGCTCACAGTACACGAGGGGACGCTATCTGCCATAAAAATCAGAAACTTAGGATCTAGATATGATGTTTTGGAATTAGGGTCATGCAAAATTTAAGATAGAACGGAGATGAAAATCGAGGAGTTTTGAATGGCATTTTCACACACAAGCCAATATACTAGTTGGTGACGTGTATGGAGACCTGAGTGTTGCCAGTATATTTGTGTCCATGCTGTATTTACTTCAAGTGACAAGACTAAAAGATGGTAAAATACAGGCTTTTATGCATCTTGATCTGGTACGAAGGTACTAGAGAAGAGAAAAACAGTCGTTATAAAATTTGTTCTAAATCCTTTCCAGGACAGCCCCGGTGGCGCAGGATTTAGCGCCGCCTTCAGCCCGGGGCCTGATCCTGGAGACCCGAGATCGAGTCCCACATCAGGCTCCCTGCATGGAGCCTGCTTCTCCCTCTGCCTGTGTCTGCCTCCCTCCCTCCCTCCCTCCCTCTCTCTCTCTCTCTCTCTCTGTGTGTGTGTTTCTCATGAACAAATAAATAAAATCTTTAAAAATAAATAAATAAAATCCTTTTCAGAACAGAGACAATATAGAAAGCAGATGTTATAAGAGATGTTTTCCAAGTCGGAATGCATTTCAGGAAGTTGTAATGTTTCTGAAATGAGCAAGGCCTGGCAATCAGCAAACATTGCTTGCCTATAATTAAGCCAGCACCGCCATCTTTGAGAAACACATACCAAAAGTCTAAGACCAAGTCTATGCTTTTAAGGACATTACAGTGTTGTTGACAAAGCAAAACCAGTGAAAGGATTACCAGCCAGTATGAAGGGAGATTATGCAGAGACTCCTCCTGCCATCAGAGTAGGAGGTAAGGAGAGGTTGGTGGAGCCTGGAGAGGCACAGGGAGCTGCCCAGGAGAGAAAGAATACAGTCTGGGTCTCAGCATATGAAACATGGGCGCCAAGTGCTGTATCATGGAGAGCCCTAGACAAGGAGCCGGAATTTTGTCTGCCAAAACATAACGATGCTTCCTAAAACAAGCTTCAATCACTGAGACCTAAGAACAGTGTTAGGATATTGATGAACAAGACCAGTTGTGACAGCCTTTACAAGTGGAGGAAGAAGTCTTGTGAATAGCCTATAAATGCTGCTAGATCAAACTCAAATCCCATCTAGCTTGCCATCTGTGCTTGGAGCCATCATGTAGGTCCAAGAAGCTAAACTCACCCAAAAAAGTGAGCAAACCATAAGAAAACCATAAGCCAAACTCACCCAAAAGCAAACCATATTGCCTCAGTTAAAACTTCCTTCCATCTCCTGTCCTTACAGAGCCAATGCTTATTATTATGGCTTTTTAAAAAGCAGAGCCAATTAGAAATGAGGTAAGGAGCTGAAAGCTCCTTCTCACCCTCTTAATCCCCTCCATCCCCACCTGAGAGAGGCATACCCTAGCTAAAATCTTAGGACTCAGGAAAATACAGCTTGAAAATCACTGGATGTACTAATTCATCAAGGACTTTTGGATCCCATGAGCCTGACAATAAAGCTAAGGTGGTAGTCTTAAGTTCAGGCAAATGCTAAAGATACGTTCTCTCTAAAACACTGTAGTGAACAACTGACATGCAAATGCCGGACCTGGATCCAGGGCCACTCCCCTTCCTAGTGCCATACTCAGGGCCTCTCCTGGACAACACATCATTTCATCTTTTCCATGTCTGTATGCTGTTTTATAATTAGGCTAACAAATCACCCCTTTCTTTTCTTTTGCTGTTATCAACATCAACTTGCTAACAGAGGGATTGCTCACATTTTTACTCAAGAGTCACAGGAAAGGTAGGCTCCAGGAACTTCTCTCTCACAAGGGCAGTGAATATTTCAAACATGAAAGACTCAGTCATTTCACACATCCCCTTGCTGTTTCTAAGCAGCATCTAGCACAACTTGCTTAGAACTGCTGCTTCCTGGCTTTGGATTTGTTTCATGTTAGTTTTTTTAAAAAATAAAAAAATAAAGAAGAAGAAGAACATTTTGAGCCGACTTCCTTTCTGGTACCATTCTCAGCTCTTTTTGTTCCATTCAGTTCTGAGGCATCTGAGCAAACTCTAGGCATTACTCAGCTTTCTCCTGACATTTGCCGAACTCCTGGTAAAGTTCCACAACTTCCTTCATATTTGAAAGCATGGGCGCTGCTGTCAAGAGGGAAGGAAGGAAGATTCTGGGACAGGACACCAGGTTTTGAGAAGCAGCCTAGAGTTTGTAGGATGATCTTGACTACAGAACAGAGCCAAATGGGCAGCTACTGTTTAAGGGATTCCCCAGGAAACTCACTGGTTTAACAGGGTCAATGTCACAGGGCTAAGTTCCTTCTGTATCCCCCTTTTCTCCCAACTCCCCACTTAAAATAATTCAAAAAGGTGAATTTACATCATAATACAGAGGCTTCCAGCACATCAACTAAAATGCCCTCTTTCAAGTTCCAAATGGGCCAAGCAAGTTTCTGCCTTAGGACTCCTGCCTTAACCCTTCCCCCCTCTCCCCCACCAGACCACTCTGTCTAAAGTAGCATGCTACCCCCTCCACACCCTGGGTACTCTTAAAAACACTTTCCTGTTTTATTGTCTTTATAGCATTTATCAAAATCTGAAATGACTTAATTTTCCTGTTCTACTGTTTTTTTCAATCAGTTGCTCTGTATTAAAATATAACTTTCACGTTATCATTGCCCTAATCAATGTGTTCCTAAATGTTTCCTTGCAATAGAGCTCAGCACATAGTATTTACCCCCCCCAACTCCCTCCCCCCAAAAAGAGAATGACTAAATAAAATGCTTGTTGCTTTCTTTTTTTGTTGTTTTTCAAGAATGGTTTTTTTTAATAATAAATTTATTTTTTATTGGTGTTCAATTTTCCAACATACAGAATAACACACAGTGCTCATCCCGTCAAGTGCCCCCCTCAGTGCCCGTCACCCATTCACCCTCACCCCCGCCCTCCACCCCTTCCACCGCCCCTAGTGCTTGTTGCTTTCTTATGTCATTTTTTTCAGTTAGGGCTCTACTGGCACTCCTTCACCTACTCCTTCTCTTTTTTCCTCTTTCCTTGTCAGAATGAAAGAGAACTTAGATGGCATAATATGCTGAAGTACAAATATGGCTAGCAAGCATTGTTCTTGAGAATCCAAAAAAATAGAATTCCATATAGCACCTCTCTCACTTCAGCTCAACTTTGAAGGAATTACCCACTTGCTGGAATCAGTATGTCAGTTTGTTAAGGCTTAATTACCCAGGTGACCAGTCTGCACAGGTAAGTGAGGTGGCAATAGAATACAGATGGGCCAGAGAGGGAGCCAACTAGAATTGTTGCCTGTTCCTTTTCTCTTTAAACTAGCATATACCGGGGATCCCTGGGTGGCGCAGCGGTTTGGCGCCTGCCTTTGGCCCAGGGCGCGATCCTGGAGACCCGGGATCGAGTCCCACATCGGGCTCCCGGTGCATGGAGCCTGCTTCTCCCTCTGCCTGTGTCT